ACCTTGCGGAGTGGAAAGGAATTAGAAGCCCCGACGACTCAAATCGAGAAGGATGAGAGTGAAAAGGAGAGCACAGCTGCAGAGTATGAGGCCAAGCAGCAGAATATGGGGGCACCCAGTACTCAGCCTGCAGATAGTGATAAACGGAAAGGCAGCCCGGTTTGCCCTCCACCGAAACCCGGACCTCTACCGTTTCCATCCAGGGTAAGAAGGGCAGCAAAGGAGGACTCTGAGAAGCAGGTTCTTGATATGTTCAAGAAAGTCGAGATCAATATTCCTCTCATCGATGCAATCAAGCAAGTCCCGCGTTACGCCAAATTCTTAAAGGACTTGTGCACCAACAAAAGAAAGCTGCGAGGGAATGAGAAGATTCAGATGGGAGAGAATGTCTCGGCAATATTTCAGAGGGATTTGCCCCAAAAGAGAAGCGACCCAGGTATGTTTTCGATTCCATGCACTATAGGGAATTTAAAAATCGAGCGAGCCATGCTCGACTTGGGAGCATCAATTAATGTTATGCCTCGCTCTATTTTTGATTCTTTAAATTTGGGTCCTCTTAAAGAAACTCGTGTGGTAATTCAACTTGCTGACCGGAGTACCACCTTTCCGGATGGGGTAATTGAGGATGTTCTCGTTAAGGTTAATGAACTCATTTTTCCCGCTGACTTTTATGTGCTGAGTATGAATGACAGGATTCCTATGTCATCCCCGATTTTGTTGGGGCGGCCGTTCTTGAACACCGCTCAAACAAAAATCGACGTTCGTGAAGGCACTCTCACAATGGAGTTCGATGGCAATGTTATTCGTTTTAATATTTTTGATGCCATGAAATTCCCTGATTCTGATCATTGTGTTTATTTACTTGATTGTATTGAACCGTTAGCACAGGATGTTCTAGACACGTATAAGGAGGATGAGTTGGAGCTCGTGATCTCACAAAGTCTAGGAAAAGATCAAGCAGTACTGGGTACCTTCCCAGGAGTACTGGGCACCCCTGTACCCGACCTACAGCGAGATAGTGACCGACCTGAATTTTTAAATCGTCGGGAGTTAATCGAAGAGGCTGTGACAGCCTTGAATACTCTGAAATTATATGTTGGCAAGTATGATAAAAATTTTATTCAACTCCCTGAAACTGATAAAAAAATTCTTCCTTCTACTTTGCAGACCCCGGAGCTTGAAATGAAATCCTTGCCGAGCCATTTAAAATACGTTTACTTGGGAGATGATCGAACACTCCCGGTGATAGTATCGTCTAAGCTGAAACCTGACCAGGAGGCAGCCCTCATTGACGTGTTGAGAAATTACAAACGAGCAATTGGATGGACCATTGCCGATTTGCGAGGGATAAGCCCGTCCGTATGCATGCATCGTATTCTCCTCGAGGAGGACGCTAAACCATCTCGCGTGGCGCAGCGAAGGCTGAATCCTCCCATGATGGAGGTGGTGAAGAATGAAATCATTA